GAACTGGACTGTTCCTGTTGCCAAACATCAATCCATTCATGCGTTTCATACAAATTCCATTGTTTTCTAACTCTTCCTTCCTTGATCTTCCCCCATCTTCTACTGCCAGACATTACGTTGACACTCACGTCATATACTACTTATAAGTAGCTCACACCACACTACCAGCAGTCATTACTTAAATACTTGTAACTTGATTGGTAGTATCGTGGTAATCCTGTCAGGAAAATATACAGAAGAGGAAAGTGGGAAAAGTTTTTATCTATAACGTCAATAACACGAAAGATTGAAACGCGTACACAAATCAACAATGATATTATTATCAGTTTTAGTGCCCACACATGTGTACAAACAAACGTAAATTATTTATTGCTAAGGTGACTGACGACATAAACTTGTACATAACTTCTTGGTTGAACTGAAATCTGTGTAAAGATTCATATGATTTGCTCAATCGATTCTATAGCTAACGGATTTTTACTAGTATCGTGGTTCAAATATTCACATTCATATTGAGAATGAAATACAATGTAATTATTTACGTTCCTCTGTCAAAGCCAGATCGAATGAACAAATTGTGGCATAAAACCTTGATTGCACAATTCGAATACTGTCATGACTTAATCAATGTGAACCGTCTAAATAACAATGCTAAAAAATGAATATCACTTATACTTTTGTTATATATTCTGACTAACTTCGAATCCTAACCGTGAGGGGTAAACTTCAGATGCAATCATCACGAGTAGAGTCACAATATGGATGCCAGTACCAGAAAACGAAATCTTATAGCACAGTTCAACAGGATCAATAATGTTAACACCCTAAGATCTCTCGACAACTAGTGTTTAGAAATGATCATTGTTTTCACCACTTAAAACTGAGTTCGTAAGCATAAAAAAGAATAAAACCTACTACTAAGATTGATACAAACATTGCCTCTATTATTCTTTAATGAATAAATTGCATTGTTCAGTGTAACAATGAATACATTTCTTAATTGAATGGCATTCTTCTTAACAGAATTAAATAATCATCAACAATCACCTACCAAATTGTAATCTATTTCTATATTATCAAAATAATGAAAATGCAATACGTATTTACAATTCAATAAAGATATATTTGAACATTCTTTTTTGTGGAGATATTAACAATACACATACTAGATCATAAATCTTAAGAATGAAATGTTTTTAGTGTTGTGAGATCTGACTCTAATTTGGACAAACAATTCAATATACAATGAAATAAATCTTCCTTTTGATTCCCCTATATCATTCCTAGGCGAATCCCGTTTGTGAGACGGCGGTAATTAGAAGCCAAATACAGATTCATTTAGATGAGTTTATTTCATACAGTCGGTCACACAAAGAGACATGAGAATGAAAAGCTTACAAGCAAAGCGAAACGAAACGTAGTGTAGAAGACCAGTGAGTCGATTCGATGCGATTAGGCATGATTAAATATTTTTGGTCAAACAAAATTAGGCTAGACATATGACAAACAACGTAAGTAATACACACACAAGCACTCAAGTAAAAAAAACCAAGTTTTTAAGAGGAAAATTGACAAGGTCCAAAGAGGAGTGAATAATGACTGGCGAAGAAAAGGTTAATTAGTTTGTCCAAGAGTTAGGACAAACCATATAGCCTCGATACACACTACATGTTTTTACACATTCGGACTTATTTTAAAAACATGATTACTGTAAAACTAAATAACCTTACAACTAGTGATGATATACCTTAATACTAGATCTTGTTGAGGACGTTAGATCTCCAGAACTCACTTGGAAAAGGTCCTAATTTATTGCTAAAGTTTTGAATTTTTATGTATTCGCGCATAAGACGCTTAGTTGAGCTTCAGTCTACATTTCCCACTCGGAAAATTCTTGACTGTTATTGGTTGGTGGATTATTTTAGTACGCTCTCCCAAGGGCGTTGCTATCATTGTATAAATAAGCTTGATTTGTGTGCTTAGCGACCTCGTATGTTCTGGGTGCTTGTAGAATACATTCTCTACGCTTTATCAAGACTTCTTGCTTTTGTTAGCCGGGGATCGGGGTCAAACGGATTAGAATAGCCTATCGTGTCATTTAGTCATTGCTTTCGTTCCGTTTCCCGAGTAAGATGAACTCGTAATAGCATTCAAGCATATCACTTGTCGGGCATATCAGATCTATTAGGTTCAAAATCAAAAATAGAATACGTTAAATCAGTTAATTACTATCAATTCAACATTTAAATTCAAGAAATCATTCTCTTTTGACACTACCATATCATAATGAGTTTGTCAAATTTTATTTTCTCTACTTTATCAAAGATTTTAATCGTTTGTTTGTTTATTCTTCTCATTATTTGAAAGAAATTCATTTGGAAGATGAATTACGAATCGCAGAATTTACTAGTTTAAATTCAGATATGTCCTATTCACTGCATCTACTTCCAACAATAACAACAATAACAACAACAAATACAAAATCAATAAACATACCATTATCACGTTCACGAGCTGGTACACCAAATCCAATAAAAGATCAGGATACACATCCATGCAAAAGTCATACTTCGATTAGTTCACGTTCTGATTCCACTAATACTACTACTACTACTAGTAGTTCATCTGAATTACGATCGAAAGCAATATTATCACGTCAATTAGGAAAATCTAATCGAAATCGTACTGTATGGTGGACTATGTGTGGATCAAATGGTCAGACAAAGAATCAACTGGATGAATCAATGCCAGATTCAGATTGTAAAAACACTATAGAATATCATGAAAATCTTACTTCACATAAACCTATACTAGTTTATAAACGTAAATCTGGTTATTTTGCCTTATCTGATCGTCTATTAGGATTAGAATTAAAATCTACTCAACCGCAGAATTCAGAAGCATTTCCTTCTGACCAACCCCCCACCCAATAGTGTAAAATAAATCAAAAACAGGTTTTTACCAAGTTTAAAATTTCAAAACAACTCTGTTTAATCTTGGCTTTCAAACATTTTCATCTCACTTATGACAATATGACAAATATTTTATTGAAATGTTTATACTACTTATAAAAGAATTTATTAGTAAAGCTGCTATTACAAAAACAAAATACATTTTTTTTTCAAAAAATGAAAATGATTTCAACAATGTCATGCATTTAATATTTAATTGTGTACCAGATATTTCTTATTTATTGTTTTGTAATAATTGATTAAAAATTCAAAAAAAAAGTATTTTCATAAATTGCTCCAGTAGATAGATGTTACATGAGTAAATAGTATTCTTACTAATAGTAATAATATTTATTAGAATATTCATTTTCATTTTATAGTATTGATTTGATTAAATAATTTTGCTTACAATTCTTTTATTTATCAAAACATTTTTTTTCTAAAAGAATAAAAGTAAATTCATAAAATTTGCGGCAATTCTGTTTGTATTGCTGTTGGTCATCATTATTTTTTCTGTTTATCATAAATATTTGTATGTGAATTCCCTTGTGTGGGAGTGATAATTATAATTTCTGGATTGAGAGATTCATTTTTAAATTTTGTTTTTACTAGTTTTTTTGAAGAGAACACAACATCAGAGCATCAAGAAAGAATAATACTAAGACAATGAACTTATTGTCGCTTGATAAAAAAGCATGACTTAATTCGTTACACAACAAGCTTGTACTCGGGAAATCAAATTGGAAATTCCAATAGGATAAAAAAACACAGACAGATACAACACAGAACTTCGTACGTACCTACATCAGTTCAGGTTTCCATACCACATTAACGCAGAACGCAACTGTCAGTTCAAATCCGATAGTGGCAGCGATATTAGAAGTATTAGCACTACTGTAGAAAATTACGGTTCCAAGATATGATTTGAGAAGTATAATTCAGTGAAATAACTTTAGAAATAGAAAGATAAAGGCGATGAGGAATTCAGAAGGTTAGAATTTGAGAAAACGAAAAGAGTAGATGCATTTGCGTCATTGCAAACGATTTTGAGCCATGTCGTTCAAGGTGACTTAAGTCTCGCGAACCCCAACCACGTAGCCTACATCTACGAACATGACTCAGCCCATTTGTTAGTGATTTCATGGATTTGTGGTATGTTTTGATTTGGCCGCCTCTAACTTTCTTCAGACCTACTCTTACACCATAATACATAGCTCATCGAGGAAGTCGGTGGTTAGACATACGTAACAGATGTACCAACCATCTCAACTGATGAAGTTTCAATACTTCCTCTATTGATCTGCTATCCATACCTAGTACTCGTTTCCTGACTATAGTATTGCTTATTCGGTTGTCCCAGGACATACGAACAATGCTTCGAAGACATCTATAATCGAAAAGCAGTAACCTATGAATGTCTGCCACTCTCACCGGCTATGTTTTTTATGTTTATGATAAGGAAACATAAAAGAATGATGTGAAAGATGTGACCAAAATGAGTTAAACTAGCACTACAATCAAAGCAAATTCTATGGATAAGTGATATATAATCCAAACATATAATTACAGACATAGTGGGATGAACTAACTGGAAAAATCTCAGATTACAAGTGATATATGAACGATTTGGTTGTTTTGATAACACAAACGACGTGTTTGATTAAGTGTACCATTGATAAAATATCATCTGTTTAGAAATGTTTTTTTTTTAAAATCAATGTAGAAAGAAATATGATTTTATTAAGTTTCACTACAAGTGTGGAACATTTCACGCTTCTTTACATTTCTTTCTCAGTTAGAGTTATGGTGATCAGTGGTTTTACACATTGAAACCATCAATCAACCAATCAATATTAGACTACCATTAGAAACCTGGAAGCACTGGACAGTCGTTTCATCCCTGTTTGGGACTCATCAGCAGTGCGCATCCACAACTCCTGCTGCTAGCAGGATTCGAACTCAGGACCTTCAGTCTTGCATGTGAACGCCTAACCTCTGTACACTTATATGACTGGACTGAAATTATCTGCTTCATTTTTTCTGACTAAAGAGATCGATAATTGGGATTAGTTTTTTGAGATTTTGTGCTAAAATGTGAAAACCACACTATTCTGGATCGGATTGGTTTGACTCAGTTGATTCAATCATATCATGTTGGAAATTCAAAATAATTTATTCATAATATGAGCAGAATCATCAATAATCATTCGGTAATATGATATTTTAAGTTTTTGCTAATTTGAAAAAATTTTAAATTTACCAACTATTGTGGTGGTGGTGTTTGGTTCTCTGAGCTGAATGTTTTCGTTGTGGAGCTTTCATTGTTCTTCTGATTAACATCATCAGCATAAACTTCAAATAGAAGTGAAGCATTTGAATTTCTCCATGTTTGACATGTAGCTTGTTTTGCCAACCTCGATCTTGATTGGTTGCTGTTGACCTTAAACCTTTACCAACTATTGTTGAACTAGATAAATAAGTGATTGATTTACTTTCTACTTTGTTATGTCATAAAATCGGAGAACACATTTCAATACTTATTAAATACATATATCTATGAAAATTACTTGAATAGTGAACGACCGGTTGTTAACATAAGTATTAAAAAAAAGAACTATAGAAATGAATGTAACGTGTGAACAAGGATCACATAGCATTATTTCGCGAAGTTGACAATCTTCCAAATATTACAATTTATAGCAAGTTTAATTAAAGAAACCAGAATAAGTTTTTTTTAAAAATGCTAGAATCCTAATTTTTTTTGAAAGAAACACCGTGTAAAACAGTATTCACTAAATTTCAACGTCAAAACTAATATTTTTGACAGTATTTTGTAATATGACCTTGAAGTAGATTTTCAACTGTGAATATTAACATAATAGTAAAATTGATTACAATACTGCTTAACATGCTTATGCAGACATACGTCTTGTGACTAAGAGCCAAAGTTTAGAAAACAGTCTACTATACTTTCTTGGTATAAGAATGTTGTATATGGTAAAAAAAAAATCAGGCTTTCAATAGATATGCATAATGCAGAAACAATCTTGTATTGAAAAAAAAATAGAATGTATGTATGTCAAGAAATGTTGTTTAACTAGGTGGAGAATTGTTCTTTCCTCTGTAAAGCATTATCATGGAATGATTGTAAGAAAGAGTTTGATCAGAGGTTTAAATTGTGTTTTTCTATTTTTTTCCTAATTATCAGAATAATTCATAATAATATCTCGAGTGAAATCATAATTGACTTATTTATTTATGGGAATGATTTGATATATGCATTTATTTCAGGCATTTGTTTTTCTCGTGAGAACAATGAAATTATTGCAACGTTTTAGTACTAGTAATCTGAAAATTGAATAAGATTTAATTATTATAAGGTTTAATCGACTCACGTTTAGTGCTTAGTGTAGTATTTTTTGAAAATCTTTAAATATGTTTTCCATATACGAAATAGGTAATAGATAAGGATGGCAGATTAATAGATGAAGTATTGATATTTCATCAGTTGAGGTGGTTGGGATGTGTATTACGAATGTCCAATCACCGACTGCCTCGTTGAGCTATGTTTTGTGGTGTAGGAGAGTAGGTTGGAAGAAAGCTGGGGGTGGCCAAACCGAAAAATGACACAAACCCATGAAGTCACTGATAAGTGGACTGAGTCATGTTGGTAAGTATAGACTACCTGGTTAGGGTCCGCGAGAGGATATTAATCGATGGTTAGAGATCTTGAGTGACGAAGCTCGAAACCGTTTGCACTGGCTCAGGTGAATCCATCCTTTGTGTTCTTTCAAATAGTAGTCTTCCGAATTCCCCATGACCAGTTTTTCTCTTTTTAACTGATTCCTCTGGGGGTATTCTTTTCGAATGATATATTCGATCATTAATCTTTTTGATTACTGCTAATACTTTTACTAAATCTGCCACTGTGGGGTTCGAATTGATAATTGCATCTCTGTGCATATCTGGTATGACGACTTGAACTGTTGTACATCCGTACTATTTTTGAATTTGTAGTCGAACCCTAATCTCTCCGATTACTGCTAATACTTCTAATACCTCTACTACTATGGAATTCGAAGTGACAATTGCTCCAATGTGGTAGGTACGTACAAAGTTGTACGCTGTAACTAACTGACTGACTATTTATAAACTACCTAAATTTATCATAAACAGGGAGTTACTTTACCTCCTGATTAGACATTTTAATGACCGATTGTTATTAGTCAAAGATTTCATTAAAATTTAGAAACGTAATATCATTTTCTGTCAATGTTATTATGCTTGCTCTTAAGGTCACAATGTATTTTAGAATTAGGTTAATAATAAGGCCTACAGTTTCTACAGTTTCTATAAAACAAGAATCAATGGTTAGTTTTATTACTGTTCCATTTGAGACCTTTCAACTACTACGTGGTACAGCATCAAATTTAAATAAATTTTAAGTAAATGTTGAAAATTTTATTTTTAAATCCCGTATAACACTTGAGATGTACTTGCAGCAATCAAACAAATGATTCAAAGTTTTACTCACGTTCACATTGTGTAGTGGTACTCGGAATGTATGAGATGGAGCAAAATATACAATTTATGTTCATTTGGGCTTAAAGATTTTGACTTAAAAAATGGTTAGAAATCAATCTACTGATTACGGATCAATAAATTATGAAAGTCAGAAATGTTGGGGATGTTAGATCCCCAAAACTCGCTTGATAAATGTCTTATTTTGGATTTCAAGTTTGAGAGCATGGGCTTATCAGTTGACCTTGAGATCACATTTCCCAACAGGAAAATCCATGGCTGTGATTGGCTGCTGTGTATTTTAGTGTGCTATTTTCGTAACTGTCTCAAGGAAGTTTCTATGAGAGAGAGAGTTGTGTGCTTGATTTTATTGGGATTGCTGGGTGTTTGTAAAATATACTTTCTACGCTTACAAAGCCTTCTATCTTCAGCTCGGGATTCAAGGTAGCCTATCTGGACGCTGGTAATTGTCTCGTTCGCGTTTATCGACTAAGGTGAACTTGTAATCGCTTCAAGCGTACCTAGTGACAAACCCTACTAGAAAATGCTGGTGAAGTTTCATTCTCTAAGTTGGATGTCTTGGTTTTCGAGCTTTCCTCGTTGTTCTTCTGAATAACATCATCAGCACAAACTTCAGATTCATTTAAAACACTATTGTAACGAAACAATAGATTTTCTATTAGTTTATTTTACTAAAAGAACTGATTAAGCTTCATATTCCCCCTAACTTTCTTGTTTATATTAAACATTTTCTTCAAGCATTTTATTCTAACTACGTCATAATTGATAATCATGGACTGTCATACCAAGATCATATATAAATGTACACAAATACTGATATATATATATATATATATATATATATATATATATATATATATATATATATATAAACAAGCTATACAACTGATGTAACTCAATTTATCTTATTTGCAGTTGTGTATTTTGAAGGTTAATTCAACTGTAATTGTATCATTGCTAAACCTTTGTGCATTTTATTAACAAGCAACGAATCAATATGAGACTGTGAAAATATGAATTTTTTTTTAACTAGTTAGGCTGTATCAGAAATCAAGTATCTGTAATCTCATCAGTATATTAGTGTCGATCTTAGAGACCTGAGAGCGTGACCACAGAGCCCAAGGGTCAAATGCTTGAGGCTGGTGATGGACGGCCTTTTTATGAAAGGTTTTTTTAGTATACCTCTGCTCTTTTTAAAGCCCTTATTGGGCAGACATTACCGCCTAAGATGGAAATCCATGAGGTAGGGTGAGGTGTGACATTTTTAGGGTCAACCTTTTTTAACCACTTCCTTCCTTGTGAGAAGGCAACATCTCTGCAAATGCTAGTTTTCCTTACTGCTGTCACACCCCTCTGCAGTCAGCAGCATGTATTCGCCCTCAGACATTTAGTCTTATAGTTCTCTAACCTGCATGGCATGGTAGAACCCTTAGGAATATATGTTCCAGCCAATAAAGCTCTGTTGGGTCATCATGATAGGCAAGCCCGACCACCACGTCAAGGTAGCAGCTACGGGTAACTCTAAAAGCATAGCTACGACAAAGTTAAACAACAATAGGGAGAGTGAACAGCCCTGACAGACACCACTTGAAGTAACTAACTCCGATAACAGTTCGCCATAAGCTCTTACTCGACGAGTGATGTTCAAGTAGAGAGCCTGTTTAAGGTTAATGTACTTCTCTGGTACTCCTTTTAATGACAGACACTGCCACAGAACCTCACAATCAACAGAGTCTAGAAATACTATAATTGTGGGGAGTTCCTCATCATCTCTGCCTTTCTCTTTCTAAAGAAATCTCACTGAATTATACTTCTCGAATCATATCTTCGAACACTAATCTACTCCATTACTGCTAATACTTCCACTATCGCTACCACTATTGGATTTGAACTGACAGTTACGTCTCTGTGCTAATGCGGTATGGTAACCTGAACTGATATACACACATACAAAGTTCTGTGTTGTATCTGTCTGTCTGTCTATCTATATCAGTATATTCATCATCATCATCAGCATTAATCATCCGTCTTGATTACTTCTGATGAATAATATTCCAACAGGCTATATAGATAATAAACATGAACACTGAATTTATCTGTTAATTCTATTATTATTATTATTATTATTATTATTATTATTATTATTATTATTATTATTATTAACATTAATATTCTTTTCAAAAAAATGATCATTAACAAGCTCACTGACAAAAAAAAAGAATATCATTCCCGATTAAAAACACTAATTCATTGACCATCATCATCATCGTGAATAAATCAATAAAATTATCGATTTATATGAAATAAAATGATGTTCAGCCGATCGACAAAGTAAGAAAGCAAGAAGGAGGGAAGGAAAAGAAGTCCAAATAGAAGAAAATCCCAATTCATCAACAAAAAAATAATAATCATAATCATAATATTCATAATAATAGTAATAATGATAATGATAATTGCACAGCCATTTTTAATTAAACACCAATGAAACTATAGTGATATGAAATTGTTTTGATCGATATTCATATAGATATATCTATATATATATATATATATCTATATATAAATCAATGAACAAAATAAAGGCGTAAAGTACAAAGACAGAGAGAAAGAGTGGCAGACATTTGGATGTGTAAACATTGTGAATAAGTAATAGAAATAAAATATCACTGACAATAATAATTATTATAACAAATGTGTAGATATTCAAGAAAAGACAATAAAAGAAGTCATTATGAGTTACTTAATAATTAACTATATATATTCATATATATATGTATTTTTTTGCATAAAACATTATTTACTACTAACAAATACAATAATGACAACAATGAAAAAAGATGACAATTTTCAAGGGATTATGACGAAGAGAGAGAAATGAGTATAAACAAGTTGATAAGAAAAAGAACAGAGGCCCAAGAAAGATAACTATTAAAAAATACACTGGTTCATAATTTTGATTTATGTTCATTAAGTGTTATTTTATTATACTAATTAGAGTGTAAGTAGTGAAATGATTGGGAAAGGATGGATTCAATATTCAATGGTCAGTTGATAACAAAACAAAAACAACCGCTGAATATCCCAATAAACACGAAAAAAACAACAGTATACACAAATATGATGTTTATATTGTATAGATATTGAAGAAATTTGTAATATAAGCAATTGTTTTGTCTTTTTGATATGTAAATTTATCCGATATGTGATGGTATAAAAAAGAAAAAGGGAAATTCACCGTTGAATGAACGACTTGATATGATATGATACGATGATATGACAATATATATTATCGATTAATTTCGCAAGATTTGCCTATAATGCTAATTTCTTCTGGCATTAAATGTAATTCTGTTAAAGAATCAATGGATTTATTATCACATCGGTTATTGTTGGATAAATAATGTTGATGTTGTTGTTGTTGTTGTTGTTGTGGATAATTTCGTTGAGTTGATGAATTCGACTCTGAACGCATCAATCGTCGTCTATCATTGATACTTTCATAATTTATAATTTGTTGTTGTCCATCAGTAAACTGAATTGACAATAAGAATAGAAAATAATTAAACATCTAATCAAGTCAAAATGTTCAACTATTTTTTTTTCACTATTTAAGTTTTTAGTCTGTGTTTATGAATAGGATGATGATAATGGCTAAAAGTAGAAGAAAAATTTTAAATGTTACTCAATATTACTCATTTTAAATATTTTGTTTAAAGTAGGCGATAATTCATTGCTTTCAAGTCAAGTTTTCAATGATCTCCTGTAAATAAATAATGTATACAAAGTGATTGATGACGTTTACACATAATTTTTCATGACAGAGTTATAGAGATGATTGAGTTTCATCGATATTAAGAATCGTTCATTGTTAGACCATCATTAGAAACCTGGAAGCATTGGACGGCCATTTCTTCTTGGTATTGGACAGATCGGCAGAGCATATCCACGATCCCTGCTCTCGAAGATTGAACCCAGGACCTTCAGCTTTGTGAGAAAACGCTTAACCTCTAGACAATTGAGTGCCGGCACCTAATGCTGTTAATATCTAACCTTAATCAATCCACTGTATTGAGCAATCTCACCCATCATCTACCTACACTCGACAAAGTTGAACTTCTCACTGGTCATAGCTTCTCACTAGAACTCTAAGAATTTCCTCACAAAACTATTCACCAATGAGCACATTGTATGATATTCATTATAGAGTTGTGGAGATAGTTGTTTTTCATTAATTTCGTTCACTGAGTTAGTTGATTATCAAAAACAATCAATTTAATTGTCAATTATATCAGATAATTGATTAAAATGTATTCTCAAATCTCTTTGTTTATACTTATGGTTATCACCTATATTCTTAACGAACCTAATAATAAGTTTTTGTCATCTAAAGCATTAACAGTTAGTTGTAGCTGAATTATGTCGCATAGTCAACCTGAATCAAGTTCATTTATTGCTTGAAAGTTATAAAAAATAAAACTAGATAGTAAATAGTTTACAAAAATATTTGTATTACGGGGTTGTGAAGATTGTTAAGTTACACATTTTTGAAACCATGAATCGATCAATGTTGGACCACCATTAGAAACCTGGAAGCACTGGACAGCCGTTTCGCCCTGGTATGGGACTCATCAGCAGTGCGCATCCGCGACTCCTGCCCCTCGCAGGATTTGAACCCAGGACCTTCGGTATTGTGCGCGAACGCCTAACTATCAGACCACTGAGCCGGCATCCAACGGTGTTAATGTCTTACTTGATCAATTCACGGAGTTGCGCAACCTCATACACAGTCTTAGGTAGTTACTGTCTACACACGAACTTCACAATCCCGTAATGCAAATTACCTGTGCTCACTAGTGACTAGCTTCTTGAAGAATATTCTCCGAGAAGAAGAAGACGTGGGAAGACGTGCTTCCAGGTTTCTAATGGTGGTCTAACATTGATCGATTCATGGTTTCAAAAATATTTGTACAATACACTTAAGAGTGATAAGAAAAAGTCCATTGTGTCACTGTATACTGTTCACAATGTGCTATTGAAGTAAAATTACACAAAACACTTTCTCTGTGAAGAATCTTATTTCAATTATGAATTAAAAAGAATCCATTCTTTTATATTTGTCCTGATCCATACCCTTAACAAAAACATGTAATTTCTAAACCAGTGAATAATGGAAACTAATCTATAAAAAACACAAGAATTTCATTCAAATAACTGTCAGATTTTTGTCTTGTATCGTCAGTTCGTCGTTATCATTTTAATGAGTCGTTACAAGACAATGATTAATCGTTTTACAATTGTATCTATCCAACATGTTCTAAATATTTAATAGTCTCTAAAGTGAATGTCTTTTTTTTGTAATGAACATAGCCTTCTTTTAAATAGAAAACACTTGTTGTAGACGTATAAAAACTAATGAGCCATATCAAGCTTTTACATACATTTTAGTCTACTGTTTCAACCATGAACTCTTCATGCGGAATGAGTGTTTGCTGGTTGAATAAGTAAGGGTAACAAAATATTCAAGGTCATTCTCAGCCTTTCTCTCTCTCTCTCACCCTTAAGCATATTTTCAATCTATTCATAAGATTGTTTATTGTTCAGTGAAAAGTAATCATGCCTAAATAACTCTTATATACAATTTGCAAAATTTAAAAACTAGTCATAATACTGAAATATGTACTGATATTTTATTTAAATCAAGTAGAAGCCATTTGCTAAGTATCGATTTATGTGATCAGTTGTGAATAACATTTCTAGCTACATTCTAGCGATTGAAAACTAAATGCTTTCATCATTAATCTATCGTTCCATTCTATTGTGACCAATGATTTGAATGAAAAGTAAATAAGTTTTATCATAATTCTGTGTGCTTTTCTTAGTAGAGATAACTATCTTTATCTAAAATAATCAACAGATCGAAAAATCTTGAGATGGTGGATCGATCATTGTTAGACCAACATTAGAAACCTGGAAACACTTGACGGCCGTTTCGTCCTAGTATAGGACTTATCAGCGTTAACAGAGATTGACAACCGGCTCAGCGGTCTCGAGGTTAAGCCTTCGTGGGCGAGACCGAGGGTCCTGAGTTCGACTCCCACAAATGGGGTGTCGCGGATGTGAACTACTGATGAGTCCCATACTAGGACAAAACGGCCACCCAGTGCAACCGGGTTTCTAATGGTGGTCTAACAATAATCGATTCATTATTTTCAATAAAACTCAACAATCTTCACCAATGTATAATGAAAATAGAAAAATACTTAGTAGTTTTGTTTCATGAATATTGAAACGAAATAAAACAATACCGAATAAAGTTATACAAATGATAAAATATTACTCAAGAATCAATGAAATTTCACTACACTTTTAAACGAATAAACTAAGCAATAACACTTCTATTTACCTCTGTGAATATATTTGTTTTGCTTAAATCTGTTTTTCTTCCACTTACATCTCTTCTTAAATCACCATATCGTGAAATTGATGCAAAACTATTCTTATTATTTCGACAAATTTCTATACCATCCTCTTTTGAAACATTGTTATTATTATTATTATTATTTGCCATGGTATAACGTGAAGTAGACGGTGAATCCATTGTTAACATACATGATGATATTAACGATGTTTGAGAATGTGCTGGTGTCAACAGGTCGGCTGCTGCTTCATGTGCTTTATTCAATTGAGACCAAACAATAGCTTGTTGATTAGATATTTCTGCATGAGATAAACGCATATTGGATTCTGCCAGTTTACTCATTAATTCCATTTCTTTAATTCGTTGACCAACTTTAAATTCTCGATGCTGTTTATTAGTTTGTAGAGAAAAAAAATGACAAAAAAAAACAATAATGATAAAATAAAAGTAAGGAACTTCAGTGAATAATGGGATGCTATTAACTCACCATTACAGAGTGAGATGAATTAAACACAACCGACACTAGACGACTAGACTATAGGGTGCTGGAAACCTGTCACATTGTAGTGTTTACTAATTATCACATGGCTTATAATCAGTATGCAGTGGATATTGTTGGGGATGTTAGATCCCCAGAACTCACTTGATAAATATCTTTATTTTGCATTTATTTCATGGACCGATCGGTTGACATTGAGATCACATTTCCCACCAGGAAAATCCTTGACTGTGATTAGCTACTGTATCATTTTAGTGTGCTATTTCTGTGACTCTCCCAAGGACGTCTCTATAGAGTATAAATAAATGCAATTTGAGCGTTTTGATTCATTGTGTGCTGGTCGGGTGTTTGTAGAATACACTTTCTACGTTATATCAAGACATCATGCTCGTACATATGGGACAATCGGATCAGAGTAGCCTACCTGGACGCTGGTTCATTGTTTTGTTCTGATTATTCGACTAAGGTGAACTCGTAATAGTTTTAAGCATACCTAGAGACGAGTGTAACAGATATGTAGCATTGTATCACCCTCAAGTTACTACTGAAGCGAAGAGTGTCAGACCCAGGTGTATGGCTTATAAGTAGTATGTAGTGGATATGTAGCATTGAGTCACTCTGAAGTTACTGTTAAAGCGAAGAGTGTCAGACACAGATGTATGACGTGATTAGAGTGTTTTAAAGACTGGAAGACATGTGAAATATGACAGCTAAAAATCATCGTGCTTTGCAAGTGGAAGTTTGAAGATAATGTATACCTCATTTGGCTTCAATTAAATCACAAACTCCATCTGGTATCACCGTCTATGTTTGATAGAATCCGTTTGAATAATATCATTTAGAAATTTGAGATTATTATCTTCAATCATTTCAGTTCAATGCATTCAAATAGTTAATCAAATTCTATTGCTGACGTCATTTTTCTTCTCAATCTAGTGGGTTACATTTAGGAATTCACAATCTTTAATTAACCATTTGGAAATTAACGTGACATTTAATAATTCAGTTTGGATCTAATTTTGATATTGTAATATCGATCACAAAGTAATAATACTTGAAATTGATTTATTAACGCTTTCAACACCAAAAACAAAGTAAACAACTGATTCATTCATTAAAATTTTTCAATAAAAATCCTTGTATTCACCAAAAGTAAGACACATTATGAAATTGTTTAATTATTCGTAAAATTTGAATCATTCTTTACTAAGTATCGATTCGATTTATCGATTTTCTGTCGATTGATTTTCAATCAATCATATATTTAGACATGGTGTATGCATCAATGTTACCTGTTTAATTTAAATTAAGTCTATAATACAATGAAAATGAGCAAATCAAATTGTGAAAATTTATTGATAATAACAAAAAACCAGTGAATTAAAAGTAGTAGTTATACATTGAATATTGAATCAATAAATAGATAAGCATGATAGTGTTACGCCTGCACGTAAACACGTCAACTTGATATACTTGAACTATTACGAGTTTACCTATTTGGAAAACGAGAGCGAGGATCTGGCGACACGACATGCTACTCAATTCCGATTATCCCAACACCCATATTGAGTAAAAATAAGAAGACATTATATGAAGTAGAACGTGTATTCTACAAGCATCCAGAAGGTACGAGGTCCGGATACAGAAGAGAATCAGGATCTCGGACTAGGGATCCGGGACCGGGTCCTGGTTCTAGTCGTGGTCACAAAACGTTACAGATAATGCGTATTTATACATTTTGATCAAATAGGAAACAGCATCGAAGTCTGTGACATTAGCAGTTAAGACAACCAATAGGAAGCAACATTTCAAGTGACATTGATGGTCAGGACAACCAATAAGAAATAACATTGGAGTACCTGACATTGATATCTAGGACGACCATAAAATTGACCAGTAGGAATTAACCAATAGGAATTGACCAATAATTCTCTTAGTATATTGGATGAATATCCTAACAGATATTTATACAATAACAGATCTGATTGAGTTTTTATGGAAATTAAACAATACTTTCTAGTTCGGTGATGCTAAGCATTATCGAAAGTTGAAGTGGTCTAGTCAAATAGTCTGTGGTTCTTTAATTAATCTATTTTACTGAATTAAAAGAGATATAACTTTGTAGATGGGATTAATTGACTAGAAACCTCAGATAGATGTCCATGCTAACTGGTATTTGTTAGCAAAACGTTTATGTAATCCCTGGAGAAACTTGTCGTTTCGCAGTCACAGTCGGAGTGAGATTAGTGTTAGAATAATTGGCGGATACGGTTACTTTCGGCGAAACACTCATTAATCCAATCAAATTTATACATTATCTTATGAATTAATAATTTATTACCTTAGAGGTTTCTCAGGTACTTACTTCACATTATTCCTGTTCAGTTTGTGAAAATAAAATGCTATTTTTTTAAAGGAAATAATTTCGCCATATAATTAATTTTGGATAGAAGAAATTAATGGATAGGAAAACTTCAATTCAAAAAAAAGTTAAGCTGAAAATTCCATGAAATAGAAAGTTAAAAATAAAAGAAAAATTTACAAAATATTTTACCTCAGCTTCTAGTTGAAAGATTCGAGTTTGTAAATTTCGAATCTCTTGTCGTAGTTCACGATCATTAGCTACAGCATCTTCTAATTCAGACATACGAAATGAATTAATAGCTTCTAGACGATCAATATGTCGTTGTAATGTTTGACATCTGGATTGGACTCTTAGAACCTAGCGAAAAAATATACAAACAACGTATTATTCTCCTTTATTATATAATGTATTTAAACTGTAAGTGTAAATATCTAATTTAAGCTCTGAAATGATATTAATTACTTATTAATGAGAGTTCATGACTAACATCATCAATTATATTTAACTTCAAACAGCCATCACTTTGAATCAATTTGATCAGGGTGTGGTCATTCATCATTAGACTACCAATAAAGTGTAAATAAATTCTGAATAACTACTTTATTACTGTTTGGTATGTATGTCTTATTATTTACTTTCTCTTGTTATTGTACTATTTGAGAAAGAAATGTAGTTTTCAATGACACAGCTTGAATGTTCTAGCTATAGCCATATTAAAACTCTGTATTTGAGAGTTGAAAGATTTGCTTAGAAGATCGATCTACGTGTATATAAAATGGTTCATTCACTCAGTCTTCATCAATGATCGTAAATTATGCAACACATTTACTTATATGACTAATTTACTAATAAGTCACACTAATTAGTTATCACTAAATACCTCTATTGAGGAGATTCCATTGACTGTGAATCTTCAGATCTATGACACTTTAGAATGAAATAAAAATAAACATTCAATAGCCTGCTATATAGAGCTGAAAGTTTCCTATGAGACCAGAGGTTCGCAGTAAACATTGTGAATAGCTTGGCATTGCTTTGGTAAGCATTGTTCACAGTCCATATACAAAATTGGTTAGCAGGGCGACCGATCTTATTGATACTAGTGGTTATTTTGCAACATTCCTGAGGGCTATTGTCATTGGGGTGCTGAATTGCATATCACCATTGCTAATAATAATGAGTTTGACAGTCGTGTAAGCGAGATGGGTCGAAATGACCTGTTCATGCGGTGCATATTGATTGACGCGATCATGGGTCGGAAATATAAATATATATAAACTAGCGTGTGTATATGAAATGGTGTGAATGGTCCACCAGGGTATCAGGTACCTGTATGGTTGCACTACGGGATTGAGCCGAAGTGTTCATGTGGAAATGCTAACACATGAGCAGTCTCCTTGATTCTACTGAACACCAATGTAAAATCGCCCTTGACAATAGAGAGTTAATTAAAATAATTTATATACAATTCAGTAGTCTTTATTTAAACGATCAAGGTTTTTCAATGACCATAACTTAAATATCAGTTAAACTGACTGTCCCATATAAGCAGCTCAATTAAAAACATAACAAGTTATTGACTAAATCAACTGTCATCTTTTTTTTGAAACAGTTCTTATTTGCCATCTCACTAAACGCTTTTAATGTAAATCAATAATGTTTGGGTGTATGGAGGACTGAGTAGAGGATTCATTTAAGAACGCGAATTTACAGTTATGTATTAGTTTGAAAAAACAATTAAATACACCATCTAGATTTTTAATGCCAGTCACCATAAATGACATAAAACAGAGTATACTTTATATTAAACATTACAATAAATGAAAACCTACATCCATTCTAGTTTCTCGAAGTTTTAACAAAGCCCTAGCTTCACCTTGTCTGGCTGCAAAAGCTTCCATTCGAAAATCCGGTTTTGATGAAGCCCATCCAAATGATTGCCTAAAAGAAGCTCTTAATCGACTTAAACGATCACCTGGTTTTCTATCATTTCCACTTAGTTCATAATGTTCCGATTCCGATGTAGCTGCTGATTCTGTTGGTGTTGGAGTTTCTATAGATGTTCGATGATAATTATTTGTATCATTTGAACAAGGAGAGACAAGTTCACTTCGAAATCCATTCATTATCACATGATCAGCAGCACTGCTACGACTTCTACGTAATAATGAAATAAATCCTTTTGGACGATTATTTTTTGATTCCATGTCATAATCTTCATCATCATCACCAGCACCAGCACCAGCACCACCACGACTTCGATCTCTACGAGAAGGAGATGTAGTTTGACTATTGGATTCCAGCGGAAAATTATAATGTGGTTGAAGTATTCGTCGACTATTTATACGATGATTAGAATTATCATAATTTTCTACACTAATTATTCCTCGACCAAATGCATTGGTTATTATTTCTTTGCCATCTTTACCATCAGATGTTGTATGACTAGCTAGGCTACAACCACTATCACTTTGTGGTGAATCTAATCCTGATCGTGGAATACCACGAGCATATTCAGCATCGATATCATTGTTAACATTATTATTATTATTACTATTGCCGTATGGTTCATTTTGAAGACGAGAATAAATTCGATTAGTGTAACCATTATTATTATTATTATTATTATTATTATTATTATTATTATTACTGTTAGATACACGACTATACAACGATCTATTCATGGATGGTGGTGAAGTTAATTTTTGAGAATTATTCTCTTCTGTTGAAAATGAAGATGAACGTATTTCATCATGTGCAACTCTTTGATCTTCAACATCAGATAAATTATGTTGTCCTGGTGAATAATGATTATATTTAGTTGGTGAATTATTTTGACTTGAATTGATCAGTTGTGGTTGTTTTTTCATTGATAAACTTGTTGGTGATATAGTTACAGCATTGAAAAAATTCTCCATTTCTGGATCCTTTAAATGGTTAACAATAGAAAAAGTAAATCGGAAATAAAACATTACAATATGACTACATTTAAATATATACAATTTTCAAAAGGGCCTGGAGCCCTTGTGGGGCTACTGCCAGTGTTAGGCATAGGGTTGTAGATCCCATCCTGTAGAAAACTAATTCACTAAAAAACTGATAACCAAAAGAAAAAAAATCGAACCATTCTAAATCTGCCCTGGGAGTTAGAAGGTTTTCATTCAGAAATGCAGCCCCGACAAAGCAAGGACTGCATTTCTACAATTGAACAACACCTGCAACTCAAAACAACTATTAGTAAACACCAGTGTCACAATTTTCAATACAAATGTCAACGCAGTTCGGAAAATTGGATAACTACGAAATCTATCATCCAGAAGATATGAGTATTTATTAACAGTTGTCTATGCAAAATACTTCGGACTCGTTGGCCAGGCAACATCAGCAACAACGTACTGTGAGAGAGAACAAACCAGATTCCATTGGAAGAAGTGGTGGAAGTGGATAGGACACACACTGAGAAAAGCACCGGAATGCGTCACAAGACAAGCCCTCACATGGACCCCTCAACGTCAAAGGAAAAGAGGAAGGCCAAGGAACACACTACGCTAAGAAACAGAGAAAGACATGAGAAGAATGAACAAAAACTGGAAAGAACTAGAAAGGGAAGCCCAGGACAGAGTTGGTTGTAGAAAACTGGTGGACGGCCTATGCTCCATTGGGGGTAACAGACGTAAGTAAGTAAGTAATTTCAAAGAAGAGTATAGCTTAATTTGTTCACTGAACTAATATAGGTAATCAGTTCTGGACTGAAATCTTAATACACGGCGGAAAGTCAGAATATGTATATATTTACATATGTCTGACTGAAGTAGTGAATCACGAAGGTTGTCTAACTTCATCAAAAAATCAATACCTCATAAGTGAGTTCAAATACACTTTGCTGATTAGCTGCTAATCGGTATGAAGTCTTACTTCATAATGTCTTATTATTTCAAATTACTTCACTAATAGTTCATTTCAAGATTGTATGAAAAGATTTCATTTTTACTAGTTGAAATCAAGAGAATAAAAAAGCATAAAACAACGAGTAATGATTAGTTACAGCTCAACAATTAATACATCTACGCTAAATTTGCATGATTTCAACAGTTTCCCTAGTTGATATGAGTTTGTTTCTATTAAACAAATGAAATTTTCAATTATACAGTTTTTTTTCTATACAAAGAAATGTAAGTTCTTTTTATGATACTTGATATTGCCAACAGCAACTATAACAACAACTTAAAAGCTTAGCTATTTAACATACAAAATGTTTATTTAATTATTTTGTTAAAAACATCTCTATTCATCAGATGATATCTATCAGATGATATTTATAGTTTTGTCCACCGTACCTATGAATACTTTTCACATATGTTGTATTGTGGTGCTGTGGTGCGAACCACTTATAAGTAGTATATGACGTGAATGTCAACGTAAAGTCTGGTAGCATAATATGGGGGGAAGATCAAGAAAGGAAGAGTTAGAAACAATGGAATTTGTATGAAACGCATGAATAGTGACAATCGATTGATGTTTGGCAACAGGAACAGTCCAGTTCCATAGGATGAACTGATCTTTTGCAAATGAACGATTTACGATATGGTTTTCCGATTTTACTGAGTAACTCTGTAATTTTGGTTAAATACAATTCGGTTGCCCCACCTGTGTTCTCATTCACTACAGTATATCATCTGTCTATGCATTGCATGGAAGAAAAAAAAGTCAATATGATAATCATTCTCACTAGGATAACATTTTTTAAATGTTTGCTATTGTTAAATTTTTATCAAAAAAAAAAAGAATCTTTAACTGAATTCAGATAAGAATATTCTGTTAACTTTACAATCACAATAAAAACATACGTGTATAATGAATGTAAAAATAGTATAAAGTAAAGTTTAAATTGGTAAATCTATTTGTCAAAACTTTATATGGATAGTGAATAAAGTTTTCAAGAGTAATTCTATTAAGCAGGGGATTTAAACTACTGACCTTTTATCTATTGATTAAATATATAACTAAAGTCGTGACTAGTGAAGTTCAACCTGTTTAGAGTGTAGACAGTAACTACCAAAGACAAATGGGTGTGGTCGCGCAAAAAAACTGTAGATTGATCAAAGTAAAATATTAACACCGTTAAATACCGGCTCAATGGTCTAGAGGTTAGGCATTCGCGCGCAAAACTGAATGTCTTGGGTTCGAATCCTGCGAGGTGCAGGAGTCGTGGATGAGCACTGCTGATGAGTCCCATATCAGGACTTGATGGTCATGCAGTGCTTCCATGTTTCCAATGGTGGTCTAACATTGATCGATTCATGATTTCAAATATAACTAAATGGTAAACTTCAAGATTCAGCTGATATTCTGATCATATTTTCCTTAATATTGATAGTTGTGAAGATTGTTGAATGTAATAGTTTCATGTACAGGATTGATCTTTTTTAGGCAACTATTGAACAGCAAGAAGCACTAAGTATGATACTTCGCATGAATACTTACCGACAAACTTGCCAGAAATCGGACAGATGACATTCAGTCGTCGAACTATGTGATGAACTTTAACATCACTAAGTTGACATCGACTTGCAAACATTTATAACTTAAATCAGCTTACTGAATAGTTCTAAAAGTTCCTATGAAAAGCTTGGACCGATGGAATTCAGTAATATCTAGTATCAATCACTGATGATTGTACACTATTGCATAATCTCATACCGTTAATTTAAACTTAATGCAGGAATTATATAAACCATTTTTTAGCCTAAAAGCCTGCAATTCGACTCTCTCTGTCGTTATTGATTCCTTTTTATTGAGCGTTCTGTCTCATCCATTTCGAAAGATATCACTTTCGTTCTCAGTCAAATTTATCGGTTTCAAATGATATTAGCAGCATCAAAAAAATAATTTAAGCATTAATTTAGTGTCAATTAAAAAAAAAAAAAAGAAGTTGTAAAAATATTAAATCATTTGAGATTTCAGTCGGTATTGCTGATTGAAATTATTCATTTAACTTGTCAAGAGTATTTGTCATGTAATTCATTTTAAATGATGATATTTTTATATACTACTTATTGTAAATTATCTTGTTATGGTGATTGTAAGCTAACAATAAATAATTCAACTGTTGAATTGTTAACGATTATAAACATTTTATAAAATAAGTTGACCAGTGTTGGCATTGTAAACACTTTTTCTAAACTGTGTGTGTAGTATGTATACGTTTAGATGAATAAAATTGTGATGATTTTGTCTTGCTGTTAAATAATCGTAAATCTTGGTTGAAAAAATAGATTATTATTATTATTATTACTATTATTATTATTATTATTATTATATAACACTGATTAGTACGAAGTGTATGATAATAAAGTTGACAAGATTACCGACAATGAATGAGATGTAGAACAGATTACTGATACCTAATAAATATACATATATTGTAGTTAAATTGATGACATTCTAATCATAATGGTATTATTAATGGTATTCCGCTTATTTTATTCTGTATGCAATCAACTATTTATACCTATGAGCTTTTGTATCAGAAGTATTGATTTTTTGCCTTTAAATATAAATTAATAATGAAGATAAAATCTCACTGGTAAAGTTTGTGGAGAATGTTGAATGTTTTGGAGATTGAGGATAAAACCTAAGAGAACCAGTGAAAACCAAGAAGTGCTGGACAACTATCTTGTCCTAGAATGGAACAATTCAGCAGTAGGTAACCATGACCAACTGAGGATCGAGTCTACACTAATTAGTTATCAACTGAAAACAGTAGATGATAGTTGAATAGTGTTCCTAATGTATACCACTGAGTACCAGCCTACTGGTTCAAAGATAAAGAGTTCTCTGTGAGACTTAAAGGCTAAAGGTTCGATCGCCGGTGTGAACATAGATAGGCACTGTCAAGGTGCACTATACTGGGACAAAATAGCTTTCTAGTGCTTCTGGGCTTTCACTGATTATGCAACTTGCGTTGGTTCATGATCATAATAAAATATCAATTCAGTTGAAGCTTCTAAACATCTTTTGAATCTTAATAACTATAGGTCTTTTTGATAGACTTTCTCTCTGTGTCTCTCAGTCACTTGTTTTGTTTCCTTTTTTTGCGTTTAGGATTATCTAGCAGTGTCATATCCACTATGAAAATATCACATTCAACAGTCTTCACAACTATTATTATTAAGGAAAATACGATTCAAATATCTATGTTAATATTGAAGTTTACTAGTTAGTTATATTTGAAATCATGAATTGATCAAAGTTAGACCACGATTAGAATCATGGAAGCACTGCATGGCCGTTTCGTCCTGATATGGGACTCTTCAGCAGTGCGCATCCACGACTCCTGCACCCAGCAGGATTCGAACCTAGGACCTTCAGTCTTGCGCGTGAGCGCTTAACCTCTGGACCACCGATGTCATATCCACCATGAAACTATCTGATATTATTTCAACAATACAATTAAAATGTTATTTTTGTATAGTTATAAGATAAATTAACTTGTATCATTATGAATAATGCATGAAATAGAAACATCTGCTCATTAGTCATATGTTTTTCTTTGTACAGGAAAATATCATAGTATCAAACAGCTTGAACTTAACCTGATTTAATCATAAGAGTGAGACGGATTTATCCTGTTTGTGAAAATTACTTAAGTCATGAATTAACATTTGCTGAAGAATGATTGTAAAGTAAATAGCATTTGAAACTAGAAGGTCATGTATCGATTTCCTTAAAGATTGTAATTACAACTTCCCGGAACAAAACGTAGGTCAAACAGGGTATCCTGGTAACTACTTTCAACCATTTAATGTACCTGTGCTAATTTGTTAGTTGGAGAAGCATTGATAATCAGGAGCCACTGAACGACTGTTTCCATAGGACTATGTTATCATGATCCTCTATGCAATATAAACTAGACCATTTAGATGTT